TGGCATGTGGTGCTGGGGATCGAACCGCGGTCCCTGTGCTTTGCCAAGCTTGTTTCAAGTAGGTGCTTTAGACCACTGAGCCATCTCTCCAGCCCGAGAGTTTTTACCTATATGGAAAAGGAAGAATTGACTCTTCTCTCACCCAAGTAGGAAGTTTCAGATGGTGGAAAAGGAGTTACCAATGACATCAAGAGACCACAAGGTCAACAGAAATTTACTGAAGTGATGTCTGCTACACACTGTTAAACTAAACAGCAGGTTACCAAACAGTGCATATGGTATTGCCAATTTCAAAAGTTTTCAAAATGTATTAATATAGGGTGATGTCAAGAAATCATCTAAAATAGTGTTCACTTGACTTTTTATCTGTCTCTGGGTATGAAATGCTGAGCACATTTTCCTTTTTGTATGAGAGTTTTTTTGACTGGTGTTATAAAATATTTCTCAGTGGAGGAGTTAAGAATGACTGTGAGCATGTGAGTTGATGGATATATTGATTAGCTAGATTGGGGAAATCATTACACAATTATATGTATCAAAACATAATGTTGCATACCTTGAGTAGATGTGATTTTATTCATAATTCTACTCACTTAAAAAAGAAAAGAAATTTCCCAGGAATATCAGTAGAGGAGGAATATAAGAGGAATTCTGAGGTCTTTTGGGAAACCAAATCCTGTGTAAAATTTCAGCCCTCGTGCTACGCAGGGTTACTGACTGCTCCTTTTGTCTTGGTCTCCTGTACAGTTCTGCAGGGCACTAGAATTATCCTTTTCTTTTTCTTTAATTTTGACATTTACTTCTCATTGAACTTCAGCTTAAAAATATTTGCATTGAAGTATTATTTATCTTGGGGAACAAAAGCCAGTGCTCTTATTTCTGAGGTTAAATTATGTTTTCCACATTGCATCTGAGAGTTGAGCACATGAGTTGCATCCTTAGGGTATTTATCTTGTGGATAACACTTGGGATTCAAATTAATGAACAGCACAAAACTCTTGTACCCATTATAACAAAACAGAATTCCATGTATAAATTGTCTGAGGAAACTGATCCAGTATTTGAAAAATAAGAGGTTTCACAAAGGTCCTGGAAACTCGTGATATCATTTCTGGAATATTCTGCTAGGAAAGTTCATTGACTTCTACAAACTTACCTTGGGCCAAAAATTATAAAAATGAATAAATTAGGGCCGGGGAGATGGCTCAGTAGAATAAGTGCTTGCCTGGCAAGCGAAAGGGTCTGAGTTCAATCCCCAGTTCCGCAAAAAGACAGTAAAATCCAATGTCTACTTATAGGAGCAATCTAAAAATGAATAAATTAAAACAAACCCCAAACTAGTGTAATTAAAATTAACCGAAGTTCCTGATCTATTCCTGATAAGGAGTAGGCTGAATTCATAAGAAAAGGAATAAGATTAGGGCGCGAAGTCGGCCGTAGCGCTCACTGTCCCCGCCGGCACGAGGGCTCCAGTGGTCAGCCGGGTGGGCTCGCAGACCTCGTTTGGCGCGGAGCCGGGAGGGCGGGCGTCCCGGCTGGACGCGGGCATCCCAGGGCAGCCCCAAGCGAGGACCGAGCCCCCAACCTCGAGTTCTGAGTCCCGAGGGGCGGGAGGCCGGCCCCGGACGCTGGAAACCCGCGCAGGGTGTTTAGGGCCCCGAGGGGCGTGGGCGGGAGGCAGCGCCGTCCGCGGTCCCCGCTCCGCCACCTGCGCGGCGGGAGGGCGAGCACAGAGTCCGGGCGGGAGCAGGCTGCCCCGGACGCGGGGCGGAGCGCAGCCGAGAGGCCGCGGGGACCTGCCGCGCCCCACGCCGGTCCCCGCTGTCCCCGCCGGGCCAAGGT